TTCAATACTTTACGATTTTTCCGAAACAAATTAAAAAAATACAAAAACGTATTTTTGAAAACAGGGATAAGCTGTTCTAATGCACTATCCCGAAAGCTGTTATTTGGTGGCTGTGTAGAAGAAATTAATCCATGCATTGACACCCTGTAACGAACGGTTGTTTTCGTGTGTCTCTTTTTGGAATATGGTTGCTTAAGACAACAACAAATACAACAGATAACACGGCGCATTTTATTTAAAGGTAACAAAAACAACCACTGACTGGAACGTTTAATATGCGTTCATGTAACATCATGCTACTGCTGCTGTTGTTGTTGTCGTTACTTCTAATGATCATAACACTACAAAAACAACAAGAACACAAGCAATGTTTCGTCAAAACATAACAGGACAGATCGACCGACCGATTGCAAGATATTGCTGGTTGTGTGTGTCCAGGCCATGCCAGCCAAACTGAACACACAACTGTATCAATAGGAGGAGAAAAACAACAAAAATTATGAAATAACCCAGCCGGCAAACACGCATTTTATCCGAAATAAACGATAGGATATTCCATAAGTTTTTCCATATTTGTTTATAACTCAATATTTTTTTACCTTTGTACTGGTCGATGTATTTTCCGGCTTTGTTGTCAATATATTAATTTTATCCAACAGCTTTTCACCATCGATTAGTATCGTCGATTTCTTGGGTGTTTTATAATCATTGGGATGATGATTATTGTGTGAAATATTCTCAATATCATCCTTGTCCAATACCGAATCTGAATAATTTTCTAATTTACTTTCGAATTTTTCCAGTCCCATAACATGGGATTCAATCTCCTCCATTTTTCTTTACGAATCACAGGGCGCGCACTTTGTGATTGCTTTTTTGTGTAGCGCCACAAAACGGTGTTGTTTGAAACTCTGGTTGATTTTTTTGTACTTATTTTTCAACAACAATTACCACAAATAAGAATCCATTACATTTGTAGTTTATAATAATAAAAATAACAAAATATATATTTTTGTTTCACAATAGCCGCTATAATCGCAAACACACACACAGAGACGGAATATAATAAATAGCTATGTCCTTTACAAACTATAGAAATGTTACTACCAAAAATAAATGGAAAATGCGATAGACGTTGGAAAATTGAATGTTGAAGAAAAACAACAACACAACACCCAGTGTTGCATTGATAATTGTAGAATTCAACACACGGCAGTGTTGCATTGAGAGCCTGTTGTGGTGTGTATGAGTTAATAAGTAATAATGGAATTAGTCGACAACGTAACGTAAGAAGAATACGTATTCTGATAAAAATTATAGAATTTTAATGATATAAAGACCCCATGTTTCTTTGGACCAAATTAGTTTCACACAATTTAGAGCCGATTTACAAATGTCCGTCTGTCTGTCTGACCGTCTGTTGCGCACTATAACACTCGAAGGGATTAACCACTTTCATCGAAATTTTGCACATTGTAATATTCCTTCCAGAATTAGTTCAAGTTCGAAGACGGAGAATATCGGTCCACTCCGCTTGGTTCCACCCCCCACAAAATGATCAAAATTTTGCTAAACATTAATTCTATAATATCATGCAAACGAGCTCTCCGATTTGAACCAAACCAAAACCTATTATCTTTACCGATGATGGGACCAATTGGTTCACTCGTTCTGGATCAGGATTCCATAAAGGATCAAAATCCAATATTAGGCGAATGGAAAGGGCAATTTTATATAAACTCGTAATATTTCAAACTCAATTCAAGTTCGAAGATGTGAAAATTGCTCCTTCCGGTACCTCCCCCACAATATGATCAAAATTATGCTGAAACTGCATTTTCGAACAGAGCAACCAAACATTGCACAAGCATATATTTTACATATACCAATACTTCTAATCGCTCTGTTCGAAAATGCAGAGGTTCAACATTTTGTAAATCTTAAATGAAACGAACGGCAGGTGAGATTTATCGGTCCACTCCTGCTAGTATTTTCACCACAAAGGGTCAACATTTTGAAAACTTGTAAAACGGCAAGGAATTACTTTGGCTATGCCATATTGACTTCAATGCATCACTAAAAACACTTTATAGGAAGCCGAATTTTAATAACCCCCACCACCGCTTCTTAAAACAAAATCAATATGGTATGCGATTTTTGGACTGGTGCGGCTACCTTGGCACCTTCAGTCTCGAACTCTACAAGATCAGACTTCAATGAACACCTACAAATGTTGACAACCCAAGCCTCTCTTTTGCCTCAAATCCTGTTAATCTCGATGACGTGAACGAAAGCCTGGAGAGGCAGACGGATCTTCTTCTCAACTTACTAGAGGAAACCGGCTCCTTCCGCCATAATCAGGAGACCATCCCGAATCAAATCTGGGATGACTCACCCTGGTCAGACGAGGAAGACATCATGGAAACTACTGTGATTAACACTGAAGCTACCCTGGTGTCTCCTCCGAAGCAAAGTGAGTACTCCCAGATGATGAGTAGGGGTGTAAACCCTGACGAGGTTGAGGATCCGAACTCCATCTCCATGGCCCGTAGTGACGTCGCGAGACTTCTCAAGTTGGCTGTCGAAGCGGAGACTGGTACTTATAAGACTCCCGTCGTTAAGATGAATGAATCATCAGTACCAGTACCAGATGTACCGGAGAGCGGTTAACTACTGTCACCGATTCATCGGACAGGATAGCGACTCCATCACGGATAAAGATTTCCTTTTGATCAAGAGGAACCTCAAATCCATCCGTAATTTCTCCAGGAACTATCTGTATGATATTGCGAGGGACTTCTTTATTGGAAGGATTCCTAGACCTTGTTCGAAGACCACCACGGTAGTCCCTTCAAAGAAGGAGAAAACTGTCGGAGCTCCTAGTACACCTAGGAAGCTGGTGTCTGAGACGTCTAAGCCCTCAGTACCCCCCAAGGGTAAACATATTACATATACTGAAACGTCTCAGACACCAGTATCCAAGAAGACGGAGGGTAAGGGACTGTCGAAGTCAGCCCGACGGAAACCCCGTCGGCACATATAACGAAGTCTTAAGGTGGTTTAAAGAAGCCTGCATCACTGTATGATTGCAATCTCTCTACTACGAAAACGGACATATCTTTGATCCAGATGCCATATATATTTAAGAACATGGTAACTGAATTTTTGCTGAGGGGCACATTTTGGAAGTTTTTTCTCACAGTTTATGTTTATGGCCCAGATAACAACTACGTTAATTATTTTGGGGCGCTTCCGGGACGTTTATGTGTGGAATATGCCAAAACATGGACTAATATCAGTTGCTTCCTGCAGAGATATTTCTCCTCTTCAAGAACTCGGAATGCATATTTAACTTATTGCAGCTTAAATATTGGAAATACCAAAAATAATACAGGACTGTTATATGGGGCATATTAAAAACATGGACCCAAAACTAAAATTGTCTGCAAGAAGCTTATCACTATCCTTAAACCCGACATGCCAAATTACAGGTAAAATCTTTAATCCCTTCGATGGGATATTGGGTACACTGAAAACATGGACTTACATCTAAAATTGTCCTATAGTTGGAAATATCTTAAAAAAACCAAGAAAATGGGAGAGATCGATTATGTATATATTTTTCAATACCAAACATGCTTGGAATAATATTGCAGTGATTTCAACAGACAAGGAGGGGAACATGGCTAAAACGACGTCCAATTGTATTCTGTCTTTATTGTGTCTCAGGTGACGTGTTGCAAACGGAGTAACAAATTGAATAAATAGTTCAACTCTTAGTAAAGGGTATACAAATTGCAGACGGTACAAAGTGAATGCGACATTTTTTTTCTCTGAGAATCCATCAATTAAAATATTTTGATTTCGAATATAGGGCGGATTGTCAAATTATTCTCAATAAACAACACAATTTACTTTCGTAAAAATCACTTTATTTAAAAATGTTTGCATTTCATATTTTTGTTGTTGTATTTTATAAATTGATTATTATTTCAATATAATAATAAAAATAATATATAGTTGCTTTATTTTGTTTTTTTTTCATATATGTATTATGTTAGCAAATTAAAATCGTGTGGTTTTTTGTTAATGATATTGTGTTGCAAATGACAAAATCTTTTAAAGAGACATTTGTTTGTTATGTAAAATAATAAAATATTAATAATTTGATATGGAATATAGGGGGAGTGGAGTGGTCTAGAGTCACAAAATTATATAAAATAAAAAATGGGGTCTTAATAAAGAAGAGATATATATCTATATAAACATTTGTATTAAGGATATATTTTTGTTTGTGTTTAAGACTAAGATCGAATTAAGGTATAAACATAAAATTTGTATTCTTTTTGTTTTAACATGGATTAAATTTAAATTTAGGTATGAGTAATGTATGCACATAAAGTTGTAATGAAAGATAATTTGAAAAGATAATAACAAAGATTTGAAATTAAAAATTTATACAATTTTTATTTTTAATTTTTCAAATTATTAATTTGAAATCTTTAGTTTTTTTTGTAATGTAACATATAAAAAACTAGTTGATTTTGTTAAACCCTTTATAAGCATGAAATCAAAATAGAAAACATTTGATTTAGTTATGGACATAATGTTCAATTGTTCCAAATAAAAGACTAGGTCCAACAAAAAGAAACAGTTTTCTTTAGTAAAAGAAAAAAACAGTTAATTATTTTGTTAATGTCTGATTAGGTTTTTTAATTAAATTTCTTTCCAAACTCAATAAGAAAATTAAAACCCATTTTACATTTTAATTTTTGAAATACAGTGACGCAAAAAATCCACAAAGTACATTTTTCATTAATGTACTAAGAATTTTTTTAACGACAATTTTGAAAATGTTGCTTTATGGCACATACATACAAATACAATATTAAAAAAAGGTGGGACATTTTATAATTTTTAAATGGCGGGGGGCTGCTGTTGGGGTAATGAATTACTTATAACTAAAACACCTAAACATAAAACTAAACTAAATTTACATTTTACATAACAATACATCTCTTATTTTTAGCCACATTATCGGTAACTGTGATTTTAATGTCTCCTTCGGTATCTTCGGCGGATATTTTCTGGGGCAATTCCTTGGTGCCATTATCGCCAATTTCCAATTCACCTTCTGTGTGGGCGGCAGTGGTCTTATCATCAACATCGCCGTCCGCAATTGCTTCAACGCCCAGGGTTGTGTCGGCAGCTGAGGTTTCCTTTACTTCTTCGGTTTGTTTTTCTTCGATATCTTCATGTACCGATACACCAGAAACATTTTGCACCTCTACATCGTCTTCATTTTCCTCCAATTTCTGTTGCAATTTGACGGGTGTGCTGCTTTGCAGGGTTGCCTTTGAGAAACGGTTACGCAGCAAAGATAGGGGCGATGAAACAACGCTGAAGAAATCAAGTCGGGCCCGTTTTGGCGGTGATATTTCCATATCGGTTGGTAATTCTCCAATGGCCGACTGTGAGTGGTGATGGGGAGGAGTGCGTTCACGTTTACGACCACGTCCGCCAAAGAATGAAAACGAGGAGTTATTGGGAATTTCCGAACCCACGGTGACATTCAAACTGGTATTGGTGGCATCCAATTCGGTGTTGATGCGCCTGTATGATTCACGGAATTGTGGATTGCTCTGAAACTTGGATGGTGTATATTCGGTAATGGGGCGTATAGCACGTCTACCGGAGATCTGTGAAAAAGCGCGGGGGCGTTCGGGTGAAGACGATGGCTGCATGGCCAGTTGGACATCGCTCTTGGCAACGGCTGAGCGTTTTGGCAAAACAATTTTGCCCGGGGTTGAGGTGGCCGATGGAGCCAAGCCTTCGTTGGTGGCCTGCGGTTTTATGGGCGAATGATCTACAGCCAATGGCTCCATGTCAACATCATCAATGGCCGTGGTAACCTCACGTATTGTGGGTGTAGTTTTAATGGGTGTTTTCTCATTGGCCGCCTTTTTCGGAGTACTCTCCACCGAGGAAGATGTTTTTGTTGGGGTCTTTTCCAAGCTTTTATTTGGTGTTCTATTCGGTGTGTTGGATGCTTTTGCAGTTTCTTTTACAGATTTTGGGGTGGGTGGTGCCGACATTTGAGAATCTTCTTTTGATTGTTGTGCCTCCACCTCCTCTTCTTCAGCCACATCCATACGTTCAACAACCTCTTCCTTATTTTTATCTTGATTTGTGTTGTCTTCAACATTGTTGCTATTTTGTTTGCCGGTTGCAACAATTTCCTCTTTCTTTTCCTCATTTTCTTCTTGCTTAGCCACGTTGTCCTGCTCCTTAACATCTTCCTTGGGTTGTTTAGACGTCTGTTCTTCTTTTTCGGATTTATCTACTACCACTGGAGTAGTTTGCTCTTTTTCAATTTTCTCTTGTACCTCATTCTTTTTATCCGTTTGAGCTGCAGCTGCCTTATTATCCTTAGCTTGTTGTTGGGTTGTTGTCGCCGTCTTATTATCCTTGGATTGTTGTTGATTGTTAGTTTTGTTGTTATTACCATTGCTGTTATTTGTGGTAGCAACACCATTTTGTTGTTGCTTTTCCGTGGATTTTTTATTGTCCGCAGCATTTTGTTGCTGCTGTTTCTGATTTTTGTTATCGGAATTTTGACTTGTATGTGGTTTGGGAATTTTCGATTCATTTTGTGGCTTATTGTGGCCACCACCTTTTCCTGGATTCTCAGACTGTTGTTGTTTTTGGTGATTATTCTGTTGTTGTTGTTGTTCAGTCTTATGGTGTTGATTTCTATTGTCTTGTTTATTATTGTTGGTATGACCATTGGCCGAATTATTGCCGCCACCTCTATTATTGTTGCTATTTGGGCCTTTGTTCATACCGCCAGTTAAGGATAGTGGAGTACGGCGACCAGGTTGATTGGAAGCTTTGGTTGACATTTTAAAAATAAATGATAATGTCACTTAGATGAGAGATTAATCTGGAAAAAATGAAAAAAAAAAAATACAGAATTATTTAACTGTTCCAATGAGAATTAGAAAACCTCAAAAGGAAGTAAGAAAGCCACTGTGGAGTTATAAAAAATATGGTTTTTAAATATGTTCCTCTTTCACTTCAAAATTTCCAAATTAATATTATCTTACCGATGGGTTTTTACTAATAAATCGTGCCACTGTTTAACAGTAATATTTTTTGCACAATATATCGATTTTTAATCGTTTTTGTGTTTAGAACACTTTTAGTGATTTTCCGTAGAGTTTAACTCTAATGTTTATCGTTGTGTAAACAAACAGTTACTGTTTGATGATCCTCTAAAACTCGAGGTTTAAATAGTAACAAATCCTAATGCAGGTAAAAAAGTAGGGACATTTCCAATGCGACATTAGTTGTTCGGGGATCATAAAGGGATTAATGGAAATTTGCATACCTGTAACTCTAAGTGGAAATTTAAGAATTTTGTTCTGCGAATTATAAAATCGTAAAAATGCTAATATCCTTTAGTTAATTTATGTTTTAAATGCTGATAATTCCTCTTTCCATTCCAGGAAAGTCAATACAAACTTTTCGTTAGTTATGGACATTTGAATTCCCGGGATATGTCTTATTATATATCATGTACTATTTTTGGCAGGGATTTCTACACAGAGAATTAAAAAAAAACAAGTAAAAAGTCGTTAATTAAACGATATGTCAAATTATACCCACACTCCCATGAGAAAATTCCGTTTAAAATGTATTAATACCAAAAAAAAAAGTGGAACTTTTATGTGTGGAATTAGAGCGAATTCGGTTGATCAACATTCTTCCCAAGTCTACACAGAAACTTGGACCAATATTGATCATTTTTGGTAGAGAGGTTTCCTACTCAATGAAAATAAAATATATATAAAAAATTATAGGTGAAAGTTCTTTCCTGAAAATATTGATAGGAAATTGTACAAGGACTTGTAGGCTTTGCTGGCAGGCAGGACGGACACTTGTTTAGGGTTGAGAACATTGCTGTATTCGGACCCTAGTTGTGCCAGAATCGAACGGGTTTGCGTAGGAAAGTCTCTCACTCTCCGAAATTGCAGGAGAATGTTGGAGTAGGACTTCATTGTATCTGTAGCCAGTCATTAGGCTTCGGAGACCGCAAGTTGATGCAAGGATTTCTTTGCGTTCGCTATCGACAATCTATGGACGTCCGATGGAATGTCGTCTTAGATGTCATCACAATAGCGGCCAAAGCCAAAGCTTTCATAACTTTATTCTTAGCTTTCAGCTTCTGATTGGCGTAGTTAGAATGCGAGGAGATATTAAGGATGTTATCGAAGACCACCCTGAGGATTTTCGGATTACGGACGATGGGGATGCGTCTAGCTCCAATGGAAATGTAAAGTTCTAAATTTGCTTTTCGCGTCCAGGAAGTGGAAAGTGACACAGTAGACCTTGCAGTGTATGATTTTATGTAAATTGAGCACCAAAAAGTCAAATTTGAGGCCTATTGGCACACAGTTTTGCAAAGCGTACTGAATTAGGTCCAAATTTGTGTATGCAAAGTTTTGTTGGAATCGGTTCAGATTTATATATAGCTCCCATATAAAGTTTCCACCGATTTTAAGTAAATGATGCACCATACTGTTAATGTTTTCTGATTAAGATAGTTACTACAGGTTGACATCCGTTTGTTGAAAAAGGTTCAGATTTAGATATAACTCCCATATATAGTTTCGTCCGATTTTATGTAAATGGCGCACAGTATTTGATTGAAAACGTTTCAGGTTTAGATATAGCTTCCATATATATTTTCATTAGATTTCATCAAAATGATGTACCAAATTTGTACGCTTCGAACGAATTTGTGCACAACGTACCAAATTGAACCAAAAATAAAGTGTATGGATTTTGTGTTGGGATAAATTTTGGAAGCGCACTGTGTTGCAGCATACCAAATTGTGGATGTCGCGGTTGTTCAAATACGCCCATTTACATAGATCTTGTACATATTTTGCTCGATGATTGACATTAAATTTTTCATAAATTGCAAATTGGTATGTGTATGGGCTGTTTTAACTCAGTTCAAATATCTATTAACTTTACGCAGTTAATTTCGTCCGATTACATTTCAATGGTACTCCAAAGATGCTATGTCTATCCTATCTAAAGATATTGTACATATAAGCATCTCTTTTATGTACCCAAAGTGGTGAAGGCTATCAAATAGTGAGCCCCGTCCGACTTTTGAACTTTCCTTACTGATTTTTATTACGGAACTAAAAAAAAAAATAAAGTCAATTTGGTTGAAAAGATGTTTAAAATACCGAAAATGGGGGGTACCTTTATATGTGGCTACCCAGAAACTTGAGTTGGTTATACAATGAGAACCCAAAATACAAAATTACAGCCATTTCGGCTGAAAAACGTGTCCAAAATACTGAATATTGGAGGGTATATTATATGGGGTCTACACCAACCAAAACGTCGATCGATGCCATTTGCAATACCATGAGAACTAGCAATTTCTGTGGAAAAATACAAAGCTCTATCTTAAATATTGCGACCTCTATCGTGTAGGTTGTACAAATTTAACTATTCGACATGGACGTTTTTTATTCTGTAAAAATTGGAGAAGCTAAATTGCAGCTAAAATTGTTTTTAAAAAGTGGCTAAAATTTTCAAAATGTAAAAACTATTATTCGAAGGAAATCGAAACAAAACAGCAATTGACCGAGTGGTTCCTTTGAATACGAGCTATATTCATGAAAACTTGTTTGTGGAAGCAGCACGTAATGAAGGAAAATAATTAAAAAATACCATAAAACAATTGTCTATGATACATTTTGAATTTTTTTACTATATTAATCTGTACAGCATATTGCAAATGTTTGAAATTGAAACATTATTTATAGGGAATTATGTGGCAATAATTGCATTGGACGAGAAATAATGCATATTTAAAAAAAGTGTTATATTTTTAGAAATGAGCTATTTAATTATACTTTTCCAAGAACTTTGATCCTTTTTCACACAGGTAAGAATATTATTTTAATAATTTGCTTTGACCAGAATCAGGTAAATCGAAAAAATGTTTACTTACAGTATTTAATAGCAATGACTTTTAACATCACACATATCATTCTTACCGATACCACGGAAGAAAAAGGACACACAAAAGTGTTTCCATTTCCTTATAACATTGTTGTAAGTATAATTAATTGAGATACAATTTTAAATTCGTTTTTCTTACAGACAATTAATTCAAATACGAAGCAAGAAGAAAACACCGGCATAGATATGCGACGCTCAACAATACGTTTTTTTGCGACCTTAATAGACATTTTAATGTCCAATTAACAATCAAGAGAAGAAAAAAATTGATGCCCTACACAAATGGATCAGAAGCCTAAATGTGTCAACAAACTAGAATTTTAATTGATTAACAAAAACATGTTTTTTATTCGTTGTTTTGTTTTGATTTCTATTTTTGTAAATTTATCGGAAAGTTCAAATCCTATACACATTTAAAATTTAGCACAGCTATTGAAATGCGGTTGCACCAACAGCAGTACGACATCTAACAATGCTTCTGTGTTGTTTGGGTCGGTGGTCTTGCCAGTCAATGTTAGCTATGATTTTATTCTAGGTCTGTGTTTCTATTTATGTAGCTATGCTACAGCATAGAAATCATTATCATCAGTTTGGTCATTACAACAATATTTGCAAATGTATTATTGGAATTAAAATAAATAAATAAAATATTTGTAGCCTGCTATATAATTATATATAATTTCGATTTCGTATTTTAAAACATACTATCAAGTTTTTATTTTAATGAATTTTCAATCAACTTGGAACTATACTATAATGTAATGAAAGCCGGTATCAAAAATCCGGGCTTTTGCAATTCATTATTGACCAGAAATACTAGATTCCCTCTCTTTTAAAAAAAATAAAATAAAAAAATCTCAAAATAAAAAGATTTAGACGACAGTAATCCTCTCCGCTGGAGTCCCATTTCGAAGTGAGAGATCTAATCCTGCAGTGACCTGTTATGATCCCCACAATGATTTAGAACTCTCTCTTATTATGTGCCAACAGCGAAGAAGTTCTTCGGCGAGGGAATTCAGGCCAGATAGCTGTTACCGACTACCTCACCGTAGAACAAGCGGATTTTCAATGAAATAGCCAATCGGTGGTTGCACAGATCTCACAATCGGAAGATTTACGGATGTGAGCCCTGTCAAGCAAGTTCATCGGCTATATCGTACTCTTCAATGTCACTATGTCCTGGAACCCTAAGCTAACTATCTGTCGTATATCAGTCAGAGACTTGCAATCAAGAACTTATTTTGAGTTTATAGTACACGACTTCAAAGCCTTGAGGGCCGCCAGACTATCGACCTATAAAGTCACCGGTCCTGTATTATCGGCAGAGTAAGTGTTTCGACTATCTCGGCCGCTTTCGTGATTTCAAGGATTTCTACTTGAAAAACGCTACAAAGATTGTTAAGTTTATATGAGTTGTATATTTCTAATTCCCTACAGTAAACGCCTGCACCAGTACCTTCCTCCATCTTTGAAACGTCTGTGAAAAACGACAGACCTGGCAGAGGTAAGGAGCCACTAGTCCAGGATTCCCTACTAGGAAACTCTACTTTGATGTCATTAAAGTCTCTTTGAGAGGGAACATAGTCACTAATATGACCATTTCCCCTCAAGAGGTCACAACCTGGCGTTATGTTGAGGATACTAGTGTGACCATAGTTCAGTGACTCTATCACGGAAAAGTAGTTCCTTTTGATCAAGAAGAACCTCAAATGCATTCGAAAGTTCTCCAGGAATTCTATCCGAATGACATTGGTAGGGTCTTCTTGATTGAAAGGATTTCTAAACCTGATGCGAAGACCACCACGGTAGTCCCTTCAAAGAAGGAGAAAACTGTGGAGAAGGATATAAAAAC